TAATTTCCTCAACACCAAGTTGTTCCAAACAACTTGTATGAGTTTCTTTCTTCTGTTGAATATAAAAGTCAATGGGGACCAGCAACTGTTTGGTTATCAACAATCTTCAAATATCTTCTTTTGTTTTCAACAGAAGAAAGAAACTCATACCGGTTTGGAACAACTTGGTGTTATGACAGAATTTCTGGGTGAATTATTTCTTTAAATGTTTGTATTTATTGTACTGTTTGTTGAAACTGTGTCTGCCATGTAATAGTCTGTGAAACTATACATTTATATACAACAACATTTTACAGATCTTTACAGTATCAAATAATTCTTAATTAAAACCAACACTCATTCTTCTCTCTGTCATTGTACTTAATGTCTGTTTAAATAAACACAATAAACAGAGTTTGTGTCCAACATCAAATGTAACCTTAAAAATATGCATGGCATGCATCATGCCAATCTAATGTTTCATGCAATTAATGCATCATCATGACACTGTTCTATTAATGTGCTCCTTTCATTTATAGGCGGATCAACTCAATTCTCATTAAATTCATTCAGTGTGCCAAATCCTGCCGTTGCTTAACCTGCCAACACCTGTGAGCTTGTGCTCTAGTAGGACGGGATGATGGGGGGTGGGGGGTCTTGTGAAAGGGGGCTATATGGAAGGGGGTCAGAGTTGGGTGAGGGTTTTGTGGTGTGTGAGCATCACAGGATTATCAACCTAATCCTTCAGATCATCCTGCACCCAGTGCTCACATCTTTAAATAGAAGGTCTGGATGAAAGTGGGAGGATGATGATGGAAAACAGGAAATGGAAAACGTATATAACAGTCCAGGAAAATAAAAAAGTAAAGCAGGTGATGCATAGACAGATTTCAAACTTAATATCCAGAGAGATGCCAGATCTGAAGGCAACAGGCATTATAAAATAGTGTGTAGTTTTAAAGTTAAAAGAATAGTTAATCCAATTTAGTGGCAAGAGTTTTGAGTGGATCTCTGAAAGTGTTTTGGCCCTGCTTGGCTCTGGTAAGTGAAATCCACCCAAGCACAAACAGCCTTTAATATATTGATGTATTCATTGTGGGTTAAAGTTGATCTGTGTTTCTTATTCCAAGCAATACTAACATTTCATCCTGACCATGTATAGAAGAGTGTACAATGTAACAACAACTTTTATGACAGTGAAAGCACGATGAACTAACAATCCTGCAGCATTTTATTAATCTATGTTATGTTCATTTCTAAATATACTAATACTATATTGGCACCTAAACACTGATATATTCTTCAAAATATATATTTTTATGTTCCGCAGAAAAATGAAAGTCTTAAAGGTTTGGAATGATGTCAGGGTAGGTAAGTGATGACCGAGTTTTCATTTTTACTATATCCCTTTAAATAATGTTAAGAAATGGAGCCTTATTGTAAAGTAGACTTGATATTGGAATTAAGCCCAGTGAGGTGCCTGCTGTAAGTCCTATATGGAAGAATTGAATATGAGGTCAGTGTACACTCACCTCCATGCTGGTCCGATTACACTGATGTGTGTTTGCAAACCAGAAGTCTCCACTGGCACACTGATCCAAATTGAATCCCTGGATGTTGACGTCGACACGGATCACACCCCTACCAACAGAGAGACAACAAAAATACAGTAATGACAACAAAATAGCAGTAATGATGGAAGACTTGAAAGAAGTAATGCAATTAATTGAATAAGGCCTGATGTTTGAATTGAATTTGGCCATTCCAAACCCAATGACTTCCTTTCTTATGTGAAATACAAAAGAAGATATATTTTTTTGTCCATAACATGAAAGTCAGGGGTTACTTTTTAGAATGGTTCTTATTCATTGTATGGACAAAAACAGTTGATCTTTTGTATTCAACAGAAAGTAATCAAGGTGAATAATGAATGAATGATTGACAGAATGTCCGTTTTTAGGTGAACTGTCCCTTCAAGAGAAAGAGATGTTTTGAAAGATGTTATTAGTACAAAAACTTGAGCACACAAAAATGAGAAACCACTTCAAGAAGAAAGTGCACTGACCTGAACTCTGGGCTGAGGTCTGGCTTCAACCCATAAAATGGCATTGACAGACTGAGTAACCACCCTGGCAAAAAACAGCCATCAACGCACTCAAGAAAAGGGGCTTCACCCCACTGAACCCCGCTGCTATTGATTACATAACTATCCCCACGTGCCCACTTGGGAGTGTCTAGGGTTCTTAAGTCATTTAGAAGAACCCGTTTAGACAAGGCATGGTGGGGTGGAGAGCTAGACTTAAACGTATCAAACCAGCTTTGGTCAGGAGCCGGAGGACGGAAGCTGCTCCAGGCAGATGTCAGGTCCTGCAGGAGAATGTCCTGGGTTGTGCCTTTGGAGGCACGGAGCACCAGTTGGGGCCGTTGGATCGTGGGGTCAGCGTCGAATGTTAGAAAAGCTCGTCTGACCAGGCTTGGCCTGTCCCCTTCGAGCATGGCCCGCACCAGTGCATGGTACCACTCGATATCCTCTCGTACACTCGTTTCTCTCAGCTCACTGGCTTGGAATATCAGGTTGAGAAAGTTGGCAGCATTGGTCAGAGACGCTATGGCTTGGTGCAAGAGAGGGAGAAGGTTTCTAGGTGGAGATCCCAATCGAACAGGCAACTGGAAACTCTGTGTACAGGTAGAGGCAACCAAAGAGGATGAATTGCCAGTGTAGAGGTAGTTCTCTGTGGCAGACCGGTCCTCCTCTGTGCTCACTTTTACTGGAGCCGGACTGGTGGGTAGAGCACTAGAAGACAAGCTCTTCCCTGCTGTTGTATTTGGGTCAGTAAGACAAGGAGTTGGGGGGAACTCCAAGCTGGAGGTGTCCTCAAGTTCAGACACAGTGGTGAGCTGAGCAGAAAGCAGGCTAGGAAGTAGCAGCAGTAGAGGCAGCAGACCAGCACACCGGCCCATCCTTATAGCAACTGCTCCTCCAATGCTTTTTGTGAAGGAATAGATCAGATTCGTGTTTTCTCACATCCTGAAAGATGCTTTCAAAGCGCAGGCCTCCATGTCTTCTCTATACCTGGCTTTGTTTCTCCTCTCCTCTTTTTGTTAACCGATTGACAGGTGTTAGTGATGATAGTTAGAGTGCAACCTCACTTTGCTGCCAACAGCATCTTGATTTCACACACAAAAAAGTGTGCATTCATACACAGACTGACAAACTCCTGCAGTCAGTTGTTCAGGTCCACCCTAGATGTAATGCTGCTGAGACCACGAAGACTTTGATTTCCAGCCAGTGTGGAGTTAATCGGCCTGCAAGAAACTGTAGTGAGAAACAGAGATAACAAGAAACCGACAACATGCGGAATATCCCGTTTTGCTCTCTGCTTACCTCTTCACTTACTCTCCAGCCGTCCTGTAAATCTCTCCCTCTCACCCATCTCTCTCGCTCCCTCTCCCAATCTCCCAGTAGTGGCGAGTGCTGAGAGTGGCACATCTGTTAATGTTGGATTGTTATGATGAGTGTATGTGCATGAGGTTGGGCTGATGGATGAGAGGATGGGAGGGTAATCCTCTCTGTTGGGGTATGTATCAGAATCTCACCGCTTTGTGGATTAACCCAACACGCTCCGACTGAGTCAGTCATGAGTGGTCTTTTATGGACTGTGTATGTGTGTGCGACTTTGTGCATCTGTGAATATGTGCATGCAGAGGTTTACAAGTATGCATCTGCTTGGCAGATAAAGTGCACTGAAATGTTAATCTCTGATAGACAAATTGCGTTTTGAACTGCCAACGTTTTGTGCAACAATCAGGGAAATTAAAAAAGTAAAGGAAGAAGAAAACATGCTCCACATGTGTACTACATGAATGAACGTCTGACAGATGTGTCTGTGTGTGTGTGTGTGTGTGTGAGAGAAAGATGATTCAGACAAATCCAATCATACTGGGTAATGCAGGCGAATCCTTGTTTTGGTGCCATGGCAACAGGGTTCTGAGATTCAACTCTCATTCCTGTGGGGCCCCACCCCCACTCAGGACTGCAGAGGTGGCTGTGTGTATCCCTTTATACACTTATATGTGCATCTATATGCATGCACACAGTTGTCAAAACCTAAACTGTGTAAATGTTTTTTATGGATGAATATGTGTGGTGTGTTCAGATATGATCAACAATATTGTGTGCATTTAATGGGAGAGGATGTTGTCAATGCATGTACTATTTCTCAGATAACATACTGTGAAAACACATTTTCCATAACTAATAAAATCCGCTCTTTGTGATGTGAGATGGCAGGTTTTAAAGGGCTCTATGGGCATGTGTAAATGTTTGTGTACAGCGACATCATTCGGTCCATCAATGAAATTGCATTTCACAAATACAGCACAAATGAAAAGTCTTTACCACAGAACAATGGGAGAATGTAAACATTAATTGTATTTTATCTCTATATTCCTTTTAATATGCATATACATACCGTACGGTGATTTTAAAATATCTATAGGCGCAGATGACATGAAATACTTTTGGAAAGTTGTTGTGTCCTGCAGTTTGTCATGCTATGTTATATATAAAACTAAACATAATTTTGCTGATTCTTTCCAAATTATTATAACATTAATTTAAATGCATTAAATAAAAAGGCTACCATTTACATCCCTATAAACCTTGTTGGTCAGTAATAGGGGGAAAAATAATAATATAAAAATAATGATTTTTTTTTGTTTGTTTAAATAAGTTATATTTTATACATGCTACATAATATAATGTATAGTGATGTCCATCATTATGGAATTATCTCTCTTGGTTCTATTATAGGCCTTGTGTTTGACATAATGCTTTACATTTTTAGTATATGAGGATGAGAGTCATTATTCAAATAATGATATCATGCAAGTCATTTGTATTTGACTCATAACGCAACTGATTTGCAGGGAGAGTTTCGATCGTGCGGAACGGCGATGCCACAACAATTGATGCATCACAAACATCAGTTGGTAAGGGCATCTTCCAGACAACAGCACGGTAAATGACATGAAAGCAACATTACAGCACGGTGCACGTCACTAAGGGGGGCAGCACATAGCCTGCAGCCAAGTGGACAGCAATGGCACCGATAAGACCAAACACGAAACGCATCGAATTTGCGGAAGTGAGCGGGCGGGTGGGGCCTCGACAGTAATGTGACCACAGTCGCCTTTAGGATTGCGTGAAACGAAGCGTTATGTATGACCCTACAAAGACCCGTGGAGATTTTTAAGGCCGGACGCGAAATGAGACGAGGACGTGCGCAATGTTGAAGGAGCGACTGAAATAGAGTTTATATGCACTAAATGTCTGGCGCTGAGTGAGGGGGCTAAGAAACACCAGGAGGATTTACCATCATCATCACACAAGCGAGATCTCATGACTGGAGCAATGTGAAACGCTGATATCGCTCATTCCTTCAGTATATTGAGGAATAATAATGAACAACGCGCAAGATATGTCTCCCGATTTTGTCTTGATGCGCCTGGTCTCCGCGGCCGAGGATGACCGCTTGGACGAGGAGAATGGGAATCTGTCGTCGGGCACTGGACTGACGGTGGCTATCAAGGGGAACTTTGAATGCACGCAGAATCACGGCCACATCTCGGCGGTGAACAAAGCTCCGCTGGCCAGCGGAACGGAGGCACCTGACGCGGGAGTGATGGCGACTAGACCTGCGCTGTCTGTGCCGCCTCCTCCTCTTCATTCAGCCGAGGCCCACGGGTACGATCTCACCCACCGAGGTGGAATGGGGCCTCAGCTGTTGGTATTCAGAAACATATCGAGAGACTCTGAAGGGTTTGCCGAGAACAACTCGGAGGATCATCGCAGAGCTTTTGAGGACCAAGCGGTACTCGCTTCCGAGCCTGGCGCTGTGGACGCTCAACATCCGCCTACATGGACGCTGCATCCACAGCTCAAGCTGCCTGCGGTTGCTACGGATACGGATGGAGCCGAGTTGTGCCACCGGCATCGCTTGATCACAGACAAACAAGACTGGCCTTCGGTGGTGGATCACAAAACGAGCTCGATGACAGAGCCGGGCTGGAGCTGCACGACGGCGCAGCGGCAGCTCCAGCTGCCCGACGGTCCAGTGCTGGAGCTGGCGAGGAAATTCGGCGAGCTGGGAGTCGCTCCGGTACCCGAGTTTCTGCTCAAGGATGGCGAGCTGCAGCATTGCTCGTGTCAAAGCGTGCTCGGCTCGGCTGGAATCAGACAGGGAGAGGACCCGACCGAGACCAGTGATGCGCTGCTGGTGCTGGAGGGCCTCGGGTCAGAAGAGGTGAACGGCCTGGGCATCAATGCCTGTCAGAAGGCCGAGTCTCAGAACGCTGAGCCGGGTGCGTTTGCTCTCAAGTGTTTCCCGTCGGTGCTGTCCGGACAAGCTATGGGGGTGTCCGGGAGACTTTGCTCGCCGGCGTGTTGTTTGTTACGAGACTCGGTAAACATCAGGCCTCAGGCTCCTACCAGCGACAAACTAACTCCCGAGGTCCTGTCCCAAGCCGAACCCAGCCAGAACACCCCGTGCTCTAGCCAGGCGTCCACACCGAAGGCCCAGCCGGACAGGAGCACGACCCGGGCGCATCTTTCCGCTGCGAGCGGAGGAGAGAAGACTCTGAAAGTACCAGGGAAATCCAGGAAGGGCTCGCTTAAAATCCGCCTGAGTAAACTTTTCAGAACTAAAAGCTGTAGTGGCTCAAACAACATTTTGGACAAGAGACCTTCAGTAACATTCTCCATATCCTCAGCGGGCAGTTTAGTTGACATGTCTGGAGCGAGCGGTGGGGAACAAGACACGGCCAGGCGAGTTCTTCTGCCCAAACAACCTTAATGAAATATATGCTTTAACCTTTTTTTATACGCTGAATTTTTATTTCCCATATATAGGCCTATATATATAATCATGTTTTTTTCATGCAACATAAACTACACAGACATACCTCAAACCTAAATGACTACGGTAATGACTACAACTTTCACAAGGATTTGAGTTTTTGTGCTTGATGAACAGGACAACCACTGTAGTCCTAATACAGTTAGTAACCTTTATGTTGTAGAACAACACAGACCTTAATTTACTAATAAATCATAAACCTTTTTCTAAAAACACATTGGAAATTGCATAGGGAACACATGGCGCATAGCATTCATTGTTTACTTACCTACAAACTATAGCCTTCAACCTATGGCTTTTCAGCATGTTGTCCAGCTTTAAATTGGACCCCCAAATATTTAACATTTCAATCAAAGATTTAGCCTCTCACACATTCTGGTGATTAAAATTAACCAGGAAATGGGACACTTTTTTTTTGCATGTTTCTTTTTAACATAAATTGTTACTCCATAAATATTCAATAAGAAAGTTTATATTTTCTGTCATAAACTTTCTATCATAAAACACATTTTATAAAGAGGTGTCCTAAACTTGCTGTAAACGATTTTGAATAGTTTTCAATGTTTCTCAATGTCATATTTGGACCAAGGATCACAGGTGAGTGCAGTTTCTGTATGAGGGATAAGATATTCATAATGTGATTATGTGTGTACTATATATTTTAGACTAAAATGATGCAATGAACTTAAAATACAGAACAGAATGGATGTAAATTAATTAGTTGTCTTTCTTAAAATCTGACGATTTTCTTTCTGCAGCCAACCTGGACTAACAAGGGCACAGAGTGCCTTTTCTGCAGCCTCTTTTACTCCCGTTTTTACAGGTAAACAAAGATTTAAGGGAACATAATGGGGTGGAAGCTAAAGGAATCCTTGGAATACATGAAATGAAGGCACATTTGCAAACCACTAATTATAGCTTACACAGTGCATGGGAAATATAATGACACAGACAAATGATTTGGATGAGATTTGTCTCATTTTAGGCCAATCTTTGGAATTATTCTACATTATTGTAATGAATGTTGTTCTTATGGCTCTTGTCATTAAGTTCTGTTTTGTGGCTCTGTCACAGGAGAGACTGTGTCCTTGGTTGATGTGGACATCTCTCAGAGAGGCAGGAACTCCCCTCACCCTCCCACTCCTCCACCTCCCCCTCGGCGGAGCCTCAGTCTGCTAGGTGAGCCCCACTACAGATGTTCACACACCTCCTTGATCTCCATTGTTTCTGCACTCCTTCATTCATACCTTTCACATCTCCATCTGTTTCACACTTTTTAAATACGTCTACAGTAACCTCCCCCAGCCTCCCAGTACATTCCCTTTATCCTTTATACTGACACCTCTATCTTCTGTATCTGTCTATGCGCATAGTTTTATACACTACCGTTTAATGTTTTTTAAACAGTTTATGTTCACAAAGGCAGCATTTATTTAATTAAAAATACCATAAATATTAAAATAAGAAATACTGTGAAATATTATTACAATTTTAAATAACTGTTTTCCATTTGAATATATTTTCAAATTTAATTTATTCCTGCAATGCAAAGCTGATTTTTCAGCAGCCATTACAGTTTTCAGTGTCGCATGACCCTTCAGAAATTATTCTAATTTGCTGCTCAAGAAACTTTATTATTATCAATATTAAAACAATGCTGCTTCATATTTTTGTGGAAACCATAATGAATGAACCTTTTTTTTATAGAAAGTTCAGAAGAATCGCATTTACTTGAAATAGAAAGATTTTGTAACATTATCAATGTCTTTATTGGCCCTTTTCATCCTTGCTGAATAAAAATATAAATTTCTTTAAAAAAAAATTACTGACTCCAAACTTTGGAATTTGGAATTTACGTCCATTTTGGGTGATTCACTCACAAGTGGTGGGCACTAAATATAGACATAAATACATAAATATGGTCAAAATATTTTGTGATCATTCAGACCAAACGCATTTAACCAGATCACATTTGTAGTGTAAATGCGAATCTGTCTCAGACAACGTCAAAGGATTGCCTGCTCACCTGTCAATCAATTATTTTTTTGTGCTGTATCAAAATGCATTGATGCTGGAAGAGTAAGTAATGTATGTAGTCTTGAAAACAGAGGCCCTCCCCTCAAAATCCCATCACAAGTGTTCAAAAAAAAAAAAGAGACACTGTTGAGATGCATATTACGGCGTGTTATCAGTTCTAAACAGTGATCTTTTTCACTGCACCTTTGTGATCGAACCTTAGGCGGATGTTAAAGATGCCGTGTCAGCCTACACTCTTAAAAATAAAGGTGCTTCACGATGCCATAGAAGAACCTTTTTGTCTAAATGGTTCCATAAAGAACCTTTAACATCTGAAGAACCTTTCTGTTTCACAAAAGGTTCTTTTTGGCGAAAGAAGGTTCTTCAGATTATAAAAAGGTAAGAAAGAGATTGTTCTTTAAAGAACCTTTGACTGAATGGTTCTTTGTGGAACCAAAAATGGTTCTTCTATGGCATCGCTTGAAGAACCTTTTGAAGCACCTTTATTTTTAAGAGTGTACTTGCTTATTCTTTCACTTTGTCCTTTCATTTCCCTGTTTTATTTTTGACTTCATTCTTTTCATTTCATGGTTACCGGAGTCTCTGATTGCATTTTGCAACTATAAAATTCACAGAAGCGCCACTTAAAGTGAGTTATTGTGTAAGTCTAGGTGTGGTTTGACTTCAACAGTATTTGGCATCCAGGCCAGCAGTTCCGTTTCTAATAAAGTGAGGCCTCCGCATACGCTCTTCCGGTACATCAGCTCAGTGTGGTTGTGTGGTCTGGTAGTGAAGATTGAAATGATCTCTGTACTGGAGATATAGGTATTAGATCTGAGTATTTGTAAAGGAAGAAGCAGTCTTTGTCATGAGTGAACGAAGATGATTTGGTATGTGGATTATTCAGTCATTGTGTGTTTGAAGTTGATTGCTTATCACGTTTAGGGTAGAGATTTTAAGGAATATTCTGGGTTTCAATTCAAGTTAGGCTCAACTGACAGCATTTGTGGCATAATGTTGATAGCATAAAAATAACTTTGGCTCGTTTTATTAAAAACAGAAAAGAAAAAGAAAAATGGTACTTGAAAAAAGCGGCCACTTTCTGGAGAATTTAAAAGCAGAAATTCTAACCTTAGAATTCTAATTTTATAAAAATCACTTAAATGATTTATTTTGCTAAAATGTGTGTATTATTGAGCTGTTAAACTTTTAAAGTAATTGTTACAGATGTTTTAAAGTTTACAGCATTGTGTTGTAATGGCAAGAAAGTTGCAAAATTGGATATAACTTAACACTGAAGAGGTTACTAAGTGATTTTTCCACACTACAATCATGTTAACACTCATATTGTTCACATCATGTTGCTGGACTATTGAAACAGTATGTATTTTAACTTCCATTGTAAGAGATTTTACCCAGATTTGTTTTTTAAAAGAAATAATAAAAAAAAAAAAAATGTTTATGGTAATCAACATTGTGTCACAAATGTTGTTAAAAGATCTTGCATTGAACCAGGGTTATTATAGTTAACTAAACCTAAAACCATGAAAAAATTGTGTTAGCTGCCAAAAAAAAAAGCTAGCTGCCAAGGCAACATTTCCCATTTTCATTTAACTTAACTTGATGTACTAAAATAACTAAAACTGAAATAAAATTTATAAAAACGTTTATATTTTATATTATATATAAATTTGATGTTATATATATATTTAAAAAAAAGACAAAAACATAGAACAAAGTTACTAAAATTTTAGAAAACTAACAATATATAATAATAAAAACCTAAGTATTAATACAAACTACAATAGTATCTCATTGATACCTTAATAACACTGTATTGAACCCAGAATATTCTTTAAAAAAATAATCAACATAATTTCTTCCCAGCTAGGAAGAAATTCATTTTCCAGTGTCATGAGTGTATGATTGAATGCACATACCAGCGTGTGGATTTATTTTTACAGATGCCCTTGTTGTTTCCCCATGTCATATGCTTCCTGTCACGGTGTTTTAGTCTTCAAGTACTATAAGAGGATCAGATATTGTCACATAATTGGAGGATTTGTCCTGCTCCTTTATGCTTCAGACAGGCAAAACCCACATGTTATTCATACAAAAAGCACAAGTCATTGAATGTAATATTCATGTTAATTCCAATACTGCAGTTTGCACAGTATAATATGACTGCATTTTGATCTATGTTTGGTAATAAATGCAAGAATGAATGATGTTGTCGTCCCTTTGCTCTGAAGCTGAATGGTGTTATGGTTGAATTCAGTCATGTTCTGATTCCTCTTCATCGTCCGTGGCACCTGTCTCATTCTAATAGACTTTAACCTTCTGTCTAGCCTTCCATTGCTTTTTCTATGACATCTCCTTATTGTCCTGGCTCTGAACCCTCCCTCCTGCTCTCTTCCAGACGATATAGGTGGGCCGCAGCCTGGGCCTTTCCTAGTGAGTGTAATGGGGGCCTCCCTGCAGTCTCTCCCTCTGCCTCTTCCTCCTCCTCCCCCTCTCCACGCTACCATCCAGCATAGTCTCAGCCTCAATGGTAAGACTTGGGTGCAGTGGAGGGGGCGGTGTGTGTGTTACAACCAGTGTTGGGCAAGTTACTCTGAAAATGTAATCAAATTACTGATTACTCCTTTTAAAAGTAATCATGTTACTGTTCTGATTACTTTATTTCAAAAGGAATTAGTCATTAGTTACATTACTAGTTACGTTACTTTTTTCTCCATGAAATTTATGAAATCCCAGCATACATGCTCCCGATAAGTATTTGTTATTAAAGCATCAACATTCACAGAACACTGTTCTTTTTAACTAAAGCGAGCGGCTGCTGCGTGCATGTTTTGGCGTGGCAGAATGCCAGCAAAGAGCGCTGCATTTATAATCTCTAAAAGACATCTCAGTTCATCGCAATCTCACAAATCTCTGTTATAACACAATAAATATATGCATAATGAATCTTTCATAATGTCTACAATTCGTGTGCTATAATGAGAGGATTCGTGAGCACGCAAATTTCAGCACTGCATTGCTCAACGCTGCAAACACGTGTTATAGCCTAAATAGAAACTCTGCTGTTTTCCATTTGAATATATTTTCAAATTTAATTTATTCCTGCAATGCAAAGCTGATTTTTCAGCAGCCATTACAGTTTTCAGTGTCACATGACCCTTCAGAAATTATTCTAATTTGCTGCTCAAGAAACTTTATTATTATCAATATTAAAACAATGCTGCTTCATATTTTTGTGGAAACCATAATGAATGAACCTTTTTTTAATAGAAAGTTCAGAAGAATCGCATTTACTTGAAATAGAAAGATTTTGTAACATTATCAATGTCTTTATTGGCCCTTTTCATCCTTGCTGAATAAAAATATAAATTTCTTTAAAAAAAAATTACTGACTCCAAACTTTGGAATTTGGAATTTACGTCCATTTTGGGTGATTCACTCACAAGTGGTGGGCACTAAATATAGACATAAATACATAAATATGGTCAAAATATTTTGTGATCATTCAGACCAAACGCATTTAACCAGATCACATTTGTAGTGTAAATGCGAATCTGTCTCAGACAACGTCAAAGGATTGCCTGCTCACCTGTCAATCAATTATTTTTTTGTGCTGTATCAAAATGCATTGATGCTGGAAGAGTAAGTAATGTATGTAGTCTTGAAAACAGAGTCCCTCTCCTCAAAATCCCATCACAAGTGTTCAAAAAAAAAAAAGAGACACTGTTGAGATGCATATTACGGCGTGTTATCAGTTCTAAACAGTGATCTTTTTCACTGCACCTTTGTGATCGAACCTTAGGCGGATGTTAAAGATGCCGTGTCAGCCTACACTCTTAAAAATAAAGGTGCTTCACGATGCCATAGAAGAACCTTTTTGTCTAAATGGTTCCATAAAGAACCTTTAACATCTGAAGAACCTTTCTGTTTCACAAAAGGTTCTTTTTGGCGAAAGAAGGTTCTTCAGATTATAAAAAGGTAAGAAAGAGATTGTTCTTTAAAGAACCTTTGACTGAATGGTTCTTTGTGGAACCAAAAATGGTTCTTCTATGGCATCGCTTGAAGAACCTTTTGAAGCCCCTTTATTTTTAAGAGTGTACTTGCTTATTCTTTCACTTTGTCCTTTCATTTCCCTGTTTTATTTTTGACTTCATTCTTTTCATTTCATGGTTACCAGAGTCTCTGATTGCATTTTGCAACTATAAAATTCACAGAAGCGCCACTTAAAGTGAGTTATTGTGTAAGTCTAGGTGTGGTTTGACTTCAACAGTATTTGGCATCCAGGCCAGCAGTTCCGTTTCTAATAAAGTGAGGCCTCCGCATACGCTCTTCCGGTACATCAGCTCAGTGTGGTTGTGTGGTCTGGTAGTGAAGATTGAAATGATCTCTGTACTGGAGATATAGGTATTAGATCTGAGTATTTGTAAAGGAAGAAGCAGTCTTTGTCATGAGTGAACGAAGATGATTTGGTATGTGGATTATTCAGTCATTGTGTGTTTGAAGTTGATTGCTTATCACGTTTAGGGTAGAGATTTTAAGGAATATTCTGGGTTTCAATTCAAGTTAGGCTCAACTGACAGCATTTGTGGCATAATGTTGATAGCATAAAAATAACTTTGGCTCGTTTTATTAAAAACAGAAAAGAAAAAGAAAAATGGTACTTGAAAAAAGCGGCCACTTTCTGGAGAATTTAAAAGCAGAAATTCTAACCTTAGAATTCTAATTTTATAAAAATCACTTAAATGATTTATTTTGCTAAAATGTGTGTATTATTGAGCTGTTAAACTTTTAAAGTAATTGTTACAGATGTTTTAAAGTTTACAGCATTGTGTTGTAATGGCAAGAAAGTTGCAAAATTGGATATAACTTAACACTGAAGAGGTTACTAAGTGATTTTTCCACACTACAATCATGTTAACACTCATATTGTTCACATCATGTTGCTGGACTATTGAAACAGTATGTATTTTAACTTCCATTGTAAGAGATTTTACCCAGATTTGTTTTTTAAAAGAAATAATTAAAAAAAAAATTTTTTATGGTAATCAACATTGTGTCACAAATGTTGTTAAAAGATCTTGCATTGAACCAGGGTTATTATAGTTAACTAAACCTAAAACCATGAAAAAATTGTGTTAGCTGCCAAAAAAAAAAGCTAGCTGCCAAGGCAACATTTCCCATTTTCATTTAACTTAACTTGATGTACTAAAATAACTAAAACTGAAATAAAATTTATAAAAACGTTTATATTTTATATTATATATAAATTTGATGTTATATATATATTTAAAAAAAAGACAAAAACATAGAACAAAGTTACTAAAATTTTAGAAAACTAACAATATATAATAATAAAAACCTAAGTATTAATACAAACTACAATAGTATCTCATTGATACCTTAATAACACTGTATTGAACCCAGAATATTCTTTAAAAAAATAATCAACATAATTTCTTCCCAGCTAGGAAGAAATTCATTTTCCAGTGTCATGAGTGTATGATTGAATGCACATACCAGCGTGTGGATTTATTTTTACAGATGCCCTTGTTGTTTCCCCATGTCATATGCTTCCTGTCACGGTGTTTTAGTCTTCAAGTACTATAAGAGGATCAGATATTGTCACATAATTGGAGGATTTGTCCTGCTCCTTTATGCTTCAGACAGGCAAAACCCACATGTTATTCATACAAAAAGCACAAGTCATTGAATGTAATATTCATGTTAATTCCAATACTGCAGTTTGCACAGTATAATATGACTGCATTTTGATCTATGTTTGGTAATAAATGCAAGAATGAATGATGTTGTCGTCCCTTTGCTCTGAAGCTGAATGGTGTTATGGTTGAATTCAGTCATGTTCTGATTCCTCTTCATCGTCCGTGGCACCTGTCTCATTCTAATAGACTTTAACCTTCTGTCTAGCCTTCCATTGCTTTTTCTATGACATCTCCTTATTGTCCTGGCTCTGAACCCTCCCTCCTGCTCTCTTCCAGACGATATAGGTGGGCCGCAGCCTGGGCCTTTCCTAGTGAGTGTAATGGGGGCCTCCCTGCAGTCTCTCCCTCTGCCTCTTCCTCCTCCTCCCCCTCTCCACGCTACCATCCAGCATAGTCTCAGCCTCAATGGTAAGACTTGGGTGCAGTGGAGGGGGCGGTGTGTGTGTTACAACCAGTGTTGGGCAAGTTACTCTGAAAATGTAATCAAATTACTGATTACTCCTTTTAAAAGTAATCATGTTACTGTTCTGATTACTTTATTTCAAAAGGAATTAGTCATTAGTTACATTACTAGTTACGTTACTTTTTTCTCCATGAAATTTATGAAATCCCAGCATACATGCTCCCGATAAGTATTTGTTATTAAAGCATCAACATTCACAGAACACTGTTCTTTTTAACTAAAGCGAGCGGCTGCTGCGTGCATGTTTTGGCGTGGCAGAATGCCAGCAAAGAGCGCTGCATTTATAATCTCTAAAAGACATCTCAGTTCATCGCAATCTCACAAATCTCTGTTATAACACAATAAATATATGCATAATGAATCTTTCATAATGTCTACAATTCGTGTGCTATAATGAGAGGATTCGTGAGCACGCAAATTTCAGCACTGCATTGCTCAACGCTGCAAACACGTGTTATAGCCTAAATAGAAACTCTGCATACGCTCGCACCTGTTAATCGTTTATATTTTATATTAGTTCATGTTGCTTTTGTGCAATAGATGAATAACAATTTATTTGTTTTAGATATTTTATGTTTAGATATTTCTATTTTGCGGGAGTCCCGTGAATCATTTTATTCTCCCGCATCCCGCACACACACGAGTGTCTACCCGCCCGCACCAGCACTCGCCCATCTTGTCCCGTGCTGCACTCTGTTGCGTCGGGTCTCGCGGGAGAGCAGGTCTCTAATCCACTGGCACTTGACTCGACAGTGCGTGTGGTGTACTACATCCTTTTTACAATCTCTAGATTATAAAACACTGCATTCTTTCAGCAATGTAACGCGGCAGTAACGCATAGAGACCTCAGCTTGTAACTATACTTTAATTACTATTTTGAAAATTATAACACGTTAAATTACTCCATTACTAAAAAAGTAATCAAATTATAGTAATGTGTTACTAAGTAATGCGTTACTGCCCAACACTGGTTACAGGGTGTTTCAGGGCATCTTTCTGGTTCTGAGAGCAGATCCTAACCTCCCCTTCCCCTTTCAGCAGACCTGCTCCTTCTCTGCCCTCAGAAGCACCTTTATTCCTTGAAATGTAAAGAGAAATGGAATATAGTGCGAATGTAACTGTGGTATTCTTGTGAAAGGCAAAGGCAAAGACAATCCATGTCACCCGCCGCATGTATTGTTTTGCTTAACAAAGGCTTTGGTTGACCGTGTGGTTTCGTTTTTCAGTTCCTTTTGCAGCTCAGAGGAAAAAGGCGGTGTGACTAAAGTGCAGAGAGGAAGTGTGAGCGATGGTGCCATACTGTAGAGTTCAAACTTAAGCTGTGTGTTGTAGCATCTTTTGCTCAATGTCTCATATAGAAATATAGCTTATGTATGAAATATGAAGGGGACTAAAGATATGGCAACTACAACATAGCATGTATGCATGTTTATTGGTAGCTGATATGACATTTCAAGTGTGATATGCTATAGGGGAGCCTGGGGCAAGTTGTCACAGAGGGAAGTTGGCATAAGGAGAGTTGTTTCAGTAAATTAGCAATGGATCTGTGTTATGGGTTTATACTATATAATCCTAGTAAATTAGAATCATTTTTGTAAATTCTGTTTCCAAACAGAACTTTGTTGTGCTCTAGCTTTTGGGCAAACAAGTGAACACAATATACAACACAACTGGGGCATGTTGTCACAAAAGGACAATGTGTGTTTGGTAAATTAGTAAAGAATTTAAATATATATTTTATATTCCTGTATAATTGCTATACACAGTTGTATATGAAGCTTTTAATAACCTCATATTATTCACTTGGGATATCTGTATATTTAACAGTTCACAATTATAACACTTATAGTCCTGTCACACTATAATGAAAAACTTAAATAAATACATTTTAATCTAAACTTTTGTAAACTGTTATTTGTTTTGTAACATTCATGATGTTACAAAAGATTTATGTTTCAAATAAATGCTGTTCTTTTAAACCTTCTATGTATCAAAGAATCTGGACAAAAAGTATTGTGGTTTCCAGAACAATATTAAGGAGCACAACTGTTTAATAAAAATAAATGATAATAATAAAAATAAATGTTTCTTGAGGGGCAAATCAGCATATTGGCATCACAGGAATAAATTACATTTCTATTGTAAAATAAATAAAAAATATTTTTTTATAGTTATTTTAAATTGTAATACAATTTCACAATATTACTGTTTTTACTGTATTTTTTAATCAAACTTTTGAATGGCCATTTAGCTACTTTTAGATGGAATATTAGTCTTAGCTGATTGCAACTCAATATTTGCTGTTGTATTTAAAAAATGGTCCATTTGTGTCTCAGATGCTTTCTTCCGGGCACTTCCACATTCGGCTCCATCACCAATGGAGACTCCGGCCCCTGCTAGAGTGGCCCCGCCCTCAATCATGTGTCCACTGAGAGGAGCCGATTCCAGCAGCTTCACTGCCAGCTTGAGAGAGCTGGAGCGGGTGAGAGACAAAACCAGTTAATGTGAAGTCAAGAAACAAGAGGAAATTTCCACTCATATGATTGAAATATAATTCGGCATGTTCATTTATAGACCTTTCTAACTATGAAATATGACTGTGGTTTCCTGGGTTTTGCGTGTTTATTCTTTTCAGCACTGTTGTATGGTCGTTGTGTGTTTGTGTCTGCAGTGTGGCTGGTATTGGGGGCCGATGAACTGGGAGGATGCTGAAATGAAGCTGAGAGGAAAGCCAGACGGCTCGTTTTTGGTGCGGGACAGCTCAGACCCACGATACATCCTCAGCCTCAGCTTTCGCTCACAGGGAGTCACACACCACACACGTATGGAGCACTACAGAGGTAAACACACGTACATACATATCTGTAAACACGCTCAAACTCTTTTTGGACATATCAGACTCAAAAGTGTAGCCAAAAAACTTCTGAAAACCTGATCTAAACCACATCCTCTAGTGGTTTGAAGTCTGATTAAAAAGTCAGTGTTGATTGCACTGCCTGAACAAACATATTAGATTTCATCACTTGCAGAATGACAGTTAGTCCTAAATTTAGATTTGAAAAGTCAAATCGGTAGTCAATAAATGTTTTCGCACCACCAGGGTGTTTTTTTTTAATCAAATACATAACAGAAACTGTGATCACAATATCACAATAAACATTAAAGGTGACATATCATGAAAATCTGACTTTTCCAGGTTTTAAGTGCTATAATCAGGTCCCTGGTGCATCTACCAACCAAGAAAACGTGAAAAAGATGAACCCAATCACTTTGTTTTGGGAAGCCTTTTTCTGCAAGTGTCTGAGAAAACGAGCACGTCTGATTTTGCTCACTTGGTGACGTGGCAAAGGGATCTCATTATAATATTACCGCCCCTTAATCTGTAAACTTCCACTCAAGGCACCGTCATTTTGATTTCGCAAGCAACAACGGTGTACCAGCTTTAATGCCATGGTGAAAGTTTGAGCAAAGCATGCTAACTGTTCTGTCTTTGGCTGCACAGGTGAGCACAGAACACTATTTACAGTCCCAGCCTCAGAGGAGACAAGAGAGCAGTGGATTTATTGATTTATTTAGGCTACTGTATATTGCTGCTGCCTGCTACACAGATCTAAAATAAACATGCGATTTATTTCCCAGCTGTTTACCTTCATAGACATAACCAACTGTTTTTGTAACTCGTGTGTTTTTAATGTAAACTTTTGTGTGAATGAGAACTTCGTTTAGTACTCACATGCTGTGACAGCCGCTTTCTGTCCGTGTGCTTCAGATGTGTGCTCTCAGAAAAACTTATATCTGAAGTTTAAACTCATATGGTTTAAAA